TAAAGCTCAGATATGCAGCGGGGAGCAGACAGAGGGAATGTACCTTACCTACCTGCTGTCCTCTGACAAGCTGAGCAGAACCGAGGTCTACATCAGCATTACTGAGCTGCTGCTGGGAGGGGTCGACACGGTGAGGAGGGGGCAGTTTAACCACACACAGTGAACAGGTTTTCTCTCAGGTGAGGCTGTTTGTGCTCATACAGAAGATAAAACATTATGTGTGAGCTCAGCCTTTGTGTCTAATTAGTGCTTCAGAAAACAGTTTAGGTGTTTTTAAAGGTGTGTTCAAAAAACAAGTCGTGTTACACAACCTGACAGCACGGTAAACAATGATGCACTTTCTGCTTCCTGCTTTTCAAACACAAGCTGGGAGTTCTGTGCCAAATTTCAGATTCAGATTGTGATCTCAGTTTTACCGTCTGTCTGTGTCCCTGCGTCCTCTGGGCTCTTTAACATATGACATGTGGATGATTGATACAGACCTAAAACCTGAGGGTTTATTTAAAGCTCTTGGGTTTGCCTTGAAGCTTCTAACTACGTATATTGACATATTCCTTAAACTTAATATACGTACTGTCTGAGGACTGAAAACAAAAAAGCTAACTTCACACGCACTCCCTTGCTGGCTGTTGGCATGAGTGATCTTTACACACTTAATTAGAGGTGTGGACTTGACTCAGGACACTCAAATCTGTAACACAGTAACTCTGTGATTTTCCTCTGTGGGGAAAACAAATTCAGTACAGAAATCTGACAGACTGCCAGAAACATTCCTGAAATGCTCTGCATCTCCCGTTGAAATCAGTGCAGGCTGAGGGAGAAAACACAACAGTTTTAGTTGCTACTTCTATGCAGAGCTCGTCTGGCTGCATTCCCGGTGAGGTTGAGGCTTGTTGGACGTTGTTTTAGCCGTGAGCATGAGGTTTGTGAAATGTTTTCTCTGCTGAAATGTGACCCGAGGCTGCAGTCGACATGGTTTGATTTAGAAATCACCTTCTGAGGAAAAAATATGAGAAATGTGAGTGAGTGCATTACCATTACAAAAAGCTGTATTTCTTTGCAGACTTTTAAGTTAAAGTGAACACTTCTTTTCATGGACAGATGTAGAACTTTTCATTTTAACATTCTCCATGTGGATCAGAGAAACTGATGGTGACAAATTGGATCAGTTGAAGAAGGCTCCACATCCTTTTACAACCTCTGACTCCCTCTCTCTCTCTCTCTCTCTCTCTCTCTCTCTCTCTCTCTCTCTCTCTCTCTCTCTCTCTCTCCTCGATCTGGCTGCAGACCTCTAACACCCTGTCCTGGGCCTTGTACCATTTAGCGAGGGACCGCACCGCTCAGGATCGACTGTACTGCCAGGTGAACTCTGTGTGTCCAGACAGACGGGAGCCGACCACAGACGACCTGAGCAGGATGCCCTTCCTGAAAGCTGTCATAAAGGAGACTTTACGGTGAGATGTTTTCTTTTTTACCTGCAGGGATGGAAATGAAATTATACCAAAAATTGGAGAAAAATAAGAACTCCTGCTCTGTACCTCCACCAGCTGCCTCCCACATGTTGCCCCTGGGTTGTAGCTGCGGCATGCCAAAATACCAAAGAGGAAATGACCAGTTATTGGGCTGGAAGAAAGGATCATAAGTCAATCAGTGTCTTTGTTTAGTTTAATTCTTCTTGCAAGTAGAAGGAACAAAGCTTCAGAGTGTCAACACAGTCTGAAGGAAAAGAAAGTCATCACAATGTGCTTCACAGAAAAACCTTCATGCCTATATAAAGGATTGCAGATACAGGCACAGTCTAATATCAAATACTTTTCATCATACATTTTAACACGTCGCACAACAGTAATGTCAAGGAAACTTCAAGTCTGAGTATCTTTGATATTTAGCTATTTGTGAGAAACCTTCATCTTGGGTGAAGACAAAACAAGAATATTACGTATTAAATTATTGTAGCATTTCTCAAGCGAGCTGTAAGTAAACTGTGTCCTCGACAGTAAACACAATTTTCCATTTTTCCATTTTTCCTGAGCTGAGCACACAAACGTTGCTCTCTGATTTGAAATTTGATTGTCGTCTGTGTCTTCCCCCACCAGCCTTTATCCTGTGGTTCCAGGAAACGGGCGCTTTATTACAGAGGACGAGGTAGTCGTGGACAACTACTGGTTTCCAAAAAAGGTAGGATATGATTTAGTGTGAGTTAGTGGTAGCCTTCAAGTGCTTTAGATGTTTTAAAGAAATCAAAGTGCTGCTCAAATAAACGTTTTTCTTTTCAGACTCAGTTCCATCTGTGTCACTATGCAGTCAGCCACGATGAGGCCGAGTTTGTAGACGCAGAGCTCTTCATCCCCGAGCGCTGGCTTCGCGCTGAGGTGTCTGGCGGGGGGTCAAAGGCCGGCTACTTCCAGCATCACCCCTACAGCTTCATCCCCTTTGGTGTGGGGGTGCGAGCCTGCGTGGGGAAGAGGGTGGCAGAGATGGAGATGTACTTTGCTCTTCCAGGGTGAGTGACAGAACACCATCATCAGAGGACTCACTGGAGGATTTCAGTATCTGTTTGTGCCGTTACTTGACGCCATCATTTGTTTTCATGTTGCATCATTTCTTTAGAAGGTTGACAACAATTTAACAATGCAAATCCAAAGAGATAGTAAAGAGTACAAATGCAGAAAACTTCACCTCCTTGGTGGAGTTAACGAGCCACAGTTGTTAGAATAGTGCGATAAAGTGAGTGTGAACTATATTTTTAAGTCATTTAGAGTGTGAGATGATTGTTTCGTGATGAGTGTGTGTGTCGTCTTGCAGCTAATGCAGCACTATGAGGTCCTGCCTGAAGATGGAGCCCAAGTGGTGGAGCCTAAAACTCGAACCCTGCTCATCCCTGCGAAGCCAATCAACCTGCGCTTCCTGCCTAGAGCCCGATGAGGGCGCTGATGAGCGTAAACACAACAGGTGTAAATGATGAACATTTAACTGTATGCAATTCAAGGACGTCAGAATGAAACACTTTGTGTACTGAGGCTGTCACAAATTTAATTTGCTGCAATTTACTGACTCAGTGTATTTGGCTCACTCATGTTTATCTGATGAAATCGGTTTTACTTGCATTGGAAGTTGTGAGTCAGAAGCTGATGTGTCGGGTCTTGTTCTTAAACGTTTGTGGTTTTGAATGTATGCTGCCTTCCTCTGACAGAGAGGTAAAAATAAAAAAAAGCAGCCTGTGGTGATACTAGTTTATGTTTTAATAACTCTGCAAACTTAGCTCAACTTTATTTTTTTACTTTTAGCTCTACGTCAGCATTAAGGAGGCAGGAGGTAAGATGTGAGGTAACGCAGGAAACAGGGAAGGACAAAACGAAAAGGGGAGGAGAGGCTGAACTCGTGCAAATTAGAAGCTACACGTTAACATTTTATTCTTACTGATTATCTCCAAACTTTTCATACTTTATGGGATTTTATCTGTAAATGCATTTGTACACAAACTATATATTTTTTTATGAGTTTGTTTTTCTAACATTGTAGATAAAATTAATCTGAAAATATATTTTAACATGATACAACTCTTAAAACGTTTATGTTAATACACTAATAAAATGTATATTTTCTGTGAGTTTTTATTTCATTGGACCTATTCTGCTATTGAGAAAATTCAGCTGTCGTATATTTGTGAAGAAAAGTGAGTTTAACCCTCCATGAGGTATTATAAAAGTGTTCTGAGGAAAGGTTCCTGGAGACATGATCGCACAAAGTTGCGGTGCAGCCTTAGATAGATAAATAGATTCTTATTTGACATGGACGTCACACTTACATTGGACAAATCAGATGCATTGTTTGAGTGTTTGAGCTCACATGCTGATCCCAACACTTGTCCACAGGATGCTTTTTAGAGAAAAGTAAAAAAATAAAGACAAGGAGAATAATAAAATAAATAATAAAATAAATAATAATACAAGGACAGTGCAGCCTCAATGCAGCACACAACTGTACAACTACACATGACAAACAATACATGTGTGTTATCCAGTTTTGTTCAGAACTTGTCTTTTTATTTTGAAGGCTGAAAATATCCACATCCGGTGGAGCTCATTTTTAAGAACTTGACGTCGCTCATCTTCTTCAGCGTGAGGACGTCGTGCAGACGTCATGTGCACTGCAAAAGATGTCAGCTTCAAGAGACTTCGTTATTCCATTTGCACATTTACAGAGAAGAATCAGAGTGCAGCTGTTGTAATGTTTGATTACTTTAAAAACACAAGCATGGAATAAAACGAAGAACTAAAAAACAACAAGTTTTAGATTTACAAAAGAAGAATAAGATGGAAACTTTTATCTTTAACACAATTAGGTATAATAACCTACATGCAATGTCAATAAATCCACCCTTAAGATGTTGAATACATTCACTGGAATAAAAGGATTTATTTTACATATTTAAAATACATTTAAAATCAATAAAAAAAACAAGTTTCAGGTTACGTAATTGACATATTAAGCAATACTACAGGTGTGTTGGGCAGTGGGCCCACCAGAGAACAAACCTTCATAGAGGCAAATAAGGTGGTGAACAAACACATCTAATGACCTACACAAACACGACAATGGACATCATGTTCTGCAGTAAAAGTAAAATATGTTTTATTAAAAAAGGTAGTGAAGTTATTGCAAAGTACCATAAAAGTTATAAACTCTACAGTACCATAATATTATACTTCAATAGGATTCAGTTGTTTGATACATCCCAGCACTTAAAAGGCCAACACTGTTCATTACAAATGTTAAGATGATATCAGATATGCTTTCTTAAAGGGTCATACAGGAAAGATTAAAAGGTGAGGGCATTAATTGAAATGTATTGTCAATTTATTTAGTCATATTTGAGATGTTTTTTGAATCATCAGCCAGAGGGAGTCGCTGCTGAATGTCTTGACTTCTATGTTTTTTCCCAGTTGAGTCAGTAAACGTGATGCAGCCGTTCTCAGGTCTGAACCGTCATTTTTTACAGCGGAGGCCACTTTCTGTTTCCGACGCGCAGTGAGGCTCAGTAACCTCCATCCATCCATCCATCCATCACCCATCCACCCAGACCACAACCTGGATGGCCCATCTTCTTAGTCACATTTTGCACACACACTTCTGCTTTTTATGCGGAATGTAACCCGGGTAATAGCTCATTTAGCCCGGGTTTAACGTGTCCCCCCCCTCCATGGAGGACTAGTCAGGTCGGGGATCCACCGCCCTGCAGTCTGCCGGGGAGAGACGGAGCTCCACAGCGAAGGGAATACACTCAGGTGGGGGAAGGAGACGTTGAAAATGGTCGGTGTTTCGTGCTCAGGAGGCTCATTTTGCCGTCATGTGAACGCGGAAGAGACGCGTCAACCTGTCGGGGATGATGGTGAGTGGCCGATAGACGCGCACCGTGCGTCTCTTTTGTCTCAGACACACGCACACACACACACACACACACACACACACACACACACACACACACACACACCTGTATATGGCACAGGGTGAAACAGGGGAATCTGATGTCAAATCAACAGGAGGGGAGGCCAGGGTTCCTGAACGCAACATGGGTGTGTTTGTGGATGTAATTGAGGTCAGCCGGCTGCGTGCGATGGAGGTCGGTGATGTGTGACCCGGATGGCTACATCAGGGTCGATCATCACTCAGAGTCAATTGCTGCTCATCACAGCAGATGGATGGATGAATAGATGATGTGTTGACAGGATAGAGCGAGATGTGAGTAACATTATCTGAAGAGTGAGCTCTCTGTAGAGGTTCTTTAACAAACTGAGGACCAGTTTTAAACTCAGTGTGGTTTAATATCCCTGTAATGCAGGATAACTGGGCTCATTAAACCCTGCTGCCAAATCTGGAATTAACATTCTCTATGTAAGCCACTCAGCTGTGAGAATTTCCATCTTTCCACTGTTCTGTACATTGTTGTTTGATTTTTGTGTGCAGACAGAAACATTTACAGGAATCTCTTCGGGTGTGTTTATATTTCTCTCCAACAGATGAATCAGTAATCAGCAGATTTACTCATAAACAAGTTATCATAACATGCATCGGCTGATAATGAAAGAGACATGTTACTACAGTTAAAAGGCCCAGGATGAACTCAGAGTGTGAGGCTTTTAATGTGAGTCTATTTCTGGTTATGGATCTGGATCTGTGACAAGCTCTCGAGGTTGGAGACACCCGTGGGTCCTCTCTGCATGATGAGTTTGAGTTCACCTGTATTATTTCATTAGTTTGATGTGAAGTCGGTGAGAGAATGATGCCGGATTCCGCCTTTAATGTAGTCTCGCTGTATACTGATTTTCTCTTTAGACTGGGTGCATCATCACTTAAATTAAGATAACTAGAAGTGTGTTTGTCGAGTTTCATAATGTCGGTCAGATTGATTATGACTCCCTGGTTAAATTTAGACGATGTAAGGTCACATGCATTTGTCCTCAGATGATCCAGTGGAGCTGTATGAAATGTCCTGAAAGCTTCCCTTGTTCCAATTTCATAGTTTTTGAGATTGGTCATGAACCATGTTAGTTTATTTCTGAAGAGGGATGAAGAACTGTGCCTACTTTTTTAGATGACCTCAAAGAGAAAGATTAGAAAAAGTAGAAAAAACTGAGGCAGCAGAGACTCTATCCTCCGTTTTAGTCTCTTGGACCAAAGTCCCCTAACAACACTAGATCCTACATTTCCCATCATGCATCTTAGTTGTGGTTTTGATTTGAAACATCTCTGCCTTTGCCTCTCAAACCCCAGATTGTTTCTGAAGCCGCAGTTTGCCACAAACTTTGCCACAGGGACAAACCTGTCAGGCGAGGGGTAATCAAGCCATTTGCACACCCATGGGTGCAGGAAATAGACCAGAATGCATTGCAGCAACAACCCAGGTTGAAGTCTGATTGAAGAATTCTGACGCTTACTGTTTTACCTTCATCTATAATCCAGTGCAAGTTAGCTGGATTGATGCTCCCGGGAAGACCTCTAAAGGCATTATGGGTAATGTAGGAAATTGCTAACTGAAGCAGAAGAAGAGAAGTCAGCGTGAAAAACATGAAAAGACACATTTCATGTTAAAAAAACAAGTCCTGACGTGTTGTGAGCTGTACAGACTGAAGTTATGAAACAGTGAGAGCAGCTGTCTGATAAAAAGCCTGCAGACTTTCGACGGCCCTGCAAGCTCTTTGTGTATTCACTGAGTGTCAGGACGCCGCCTTATCAGAGCAGTCAGGCGGCACAGCTCGAGCTCTGCAGCCTCACTGGAGGAATGAAAATGCCACAACACGTCGCTTCAGATCCAGGAGTGGGTCAACGTCTACGGCATGGAGCTGCTTGCATCCTCGCTCACCCCATCTCCCCTCCTTCTCCTCACCCCACCTTTCTTGTCTGTCTGAGTCTGGTGAAGGGAACACAGTTTATTCTGAAGCTGCTGCAGCTTCACTGTGATCTGAAGAAATCCAGTATCAGCTCAAACTTCAAACAGCTAACTTGTAACATGTCCTATTTAATGAAAGCATGACTTGTTAGATTTACTGGGCTGCCTGCCCATTGTTTACCGTTTCTGATTTTATTGCAACAGCATCAGCAGCCGTGTGAGAATCTGCAACCAGCATGGAGTTCATGTCAGAGTTTGCTACGAGGCATTCAGGGTCGAACAGCGATGACAGGACAGACGTGAACTAATGAGTGTACAGTCTCACACAGTGAGCAGAGACCTGCAGGCGGCTGAGGCCAGATGTTGGTTCAGAGGATGGGAGCTTGTTGTCGGAGATGACAGGTGCAAGGAGGCAGACTGTGCAAAACTGAGGAGCGTCTGGACTGCTGCTCTGCACTTCTGCAGGAGTAAAACATGCAGTGTTTAGTTTGAAACACGTCCACTTTTTATTTCCAGATTGGTTTGTCCAGAAATCCGGCTTACACTGCAGAATCCTAAAGTTCTGAAGTTTTTCAGTTTCCTCACAAAGGTGGCTTTTATCTGTTTGTACATCAGACGAAAGTGTCTTATATGTTGTTGAGTCTTTAAACTTTAGCAAATATCCTACAAATGATTTTCTATTTTCAGACTGTAATGAGCTTTTAATCAGTATCACTTTTTTCCTCGCTGCATCATGCGGTGTACCTTGTACATGATTGTACCTTTGAACAGAAGCTATTAAAGTTTACTATTGAAGATGATCTTCATAATTGATGAGTTTATTAATAATTTTTCCTGAAACACTTAATTGTTGTTGGTGGACAGCTTAATTGTGCATTCATAATTTATAAAGTTTATTCTGCGAGCACAGAGGTGCCCCGGTCTCGCTGCTTCATTATCCTCTCTTGCTGAAGCATTGAAGAGATAAATAATTAGGTTGATGATCGCTGCTCTACTGACTTTGGAAACCCTGTGAGAGGTATTGACCCTCCTGTTGTGTGATCACATGCCAAACAGCTATTGGAGGTGAAATGTAAGGGCGAGCAGAGAGCATCATGGGTTATTCCTGCACGTGTCAGGCACTGATCAGCTTCCTTTAATTCCTTAAGAGCAACAAATTAGGAAACATGTTAGCACATAGTTAAAAGCAACAGAACTCTGAAAACTGCTGTTGTTCAGGTAAACATTTCTTGCATATGATTTAAAAAATGTTTCAGACCGATGTTATGTTTAGAAAAAAGGCCGTTTTATTCATTGAAAACACAAAGTGATGCTATGACAGATGGAAAGGGAGAGATATGTCCCATCCCCCAACACAACAAGACTATAAGTTGACCAAAATAAATCTCTAAGATTATGTCTGCTCTTTGGGAAGGATGAACTGGAAATAAAACAAGATGCACTACGCATTTGAAAACACGTTTTTTTTTTTGTGCTGCAGAGAGATCAGTCTGTTTTTGAGAGCTTTCTGCTTTCTCTCCCTAAGCTGCAAATATCACTGAGATGTTCTTCATGTAAAGTAATATAACTAAGATAAAGAAAGCTCTGTCTAAGGCTAGACTGAACTCTAACCGTGCCTTTAGTTTCTCCTCCAGGGGAACAAACATCATTGATATTCCTGAGCGGCTCCTTCAGGGTGGCAGCAGACGAAGGAACAGTGAGCTGGTCTAAAGCTATTCAGTCATTCTGAATCGCAGCATTTAGAGGACGTGAAGAAGAGAAGCCCTCATTGTAGAAGGTTGGCAGTTATGTTTTTAGTTCCTGTAAGCCTCAGACAAGCTGCAGCAGGTATGCTGTCACCTGAGAGGAACCTGTAGACGTCAGTGGAGACAGATAGGCCAGTAGTGTCAGCCCTGAGAGATTGTAAAAGGCCTGCTGTTAATCCACAACTTGCCTGACCTTGTCTCCGGCCGCTCAACATTCAGTCGAATCTCATTATCTCTGTATCAGCGGCGAGCAGACCAAACAGAGACGAGGATTATCAATGCTGCTCTGATGGAACAGAGACTGATCAAAGTGAAGACGATTAAACTGTCAGAGCTCTTTTTTTTCTTCTTCTTGCAGGTCAAACAAAGAAACTGACCCGTAAGGAAAGAGATACAAATAAAAAAATCATTTTAGTCATCTTATGAATAAACTTTTAGTACTTCTTAGAGGTTGAAGTGTGAAAAAGAGTGCCACTCAGATATGTATAGTTAAAAAAAAAACAGCTGGTTATTGTCCTCTGTCATTGACATATAAATGAGTTATCAAAGCAAAAACACATACCAAGGTAACCTTTTCTTAAACCTCTTCTTGTGGCATTTTATGGCTTAAAATAGTTTATCTTAAGGCCCATGTTTTATCAGGAGTCAGTGTGGATAAAAACAGTCTGTCATGGACAAAGACCCCAGTGTCTTCTTCTTCCTCCTCCCCCTCCTCCCCCTCCTTCCTCTCTCTTCTTCTCTCTGATGCCTTTTCTCAGCAGATTCTCCACATTCTGTCAAATCAGAGGAAATGGCATCTGCTACATTTGGTTTTATAACTGGAGCAGCCCATTCACTCTGAGCCTTACGTAACCTGCGAACAGAGTGTCTGAGGAGGTGTGAGAACGCCTCGGCCCCTCTACACCGGCGGTCGTGCCACGATTCTATCGGGGACGTGTAGGTGTTTGTGGGTGAGAGCCGTCGATTGCTGTAAATAATATTCATCTGCACGAATCACGTTATGTTCTAGTTCTGAAAAAGTCAAGTGAGTCACGATCCACAAAACAAAAACCGTGATTACACTTTGTTCTTTGCTGATGACTTTAGTTTAAGTTTGACCCTGACTAGATTTTCAGATCTGCAACTGACAATTATTTTTGTGATCAATTTGGATTGAAGTCTTTGCTTCTTTGGTCAGGAACAGTACAAAACCCATTGACTCTGATTTTCTGTTGTAAATGACAAAAAAGGCAGCAACCTTTATTAACCCAACAAGAA